TCCGAACCGCTTTTTTCCAGGCTCTGCCAGTCACCTTCCCCGGCTGCCACAGCCCAAGAGGTGTTAGTCTGAGCTCAGCTGCCTCCCGCTAAGGTGCAAGATCATTATTTAAAGCCTGACCGCCCCCCCTAACCAGGCAGGGATTCGGGGCTGACGGGAGCAGGCATCTCTGCACCAGGAAAACACACAGCGACGTTTCGCTGCGCTGTTGAGAAGCTCAAATGAGCAGGAATCCTTCCCACCAGCCTGGAGGTTTCCTAAAGAGCCTTAAATCAGCACGCGCCTCAAAAGCTAACAGGGACAAATCTTGGCCTCGCCGTTTATGTGGTCAGTGAGCCTGGTTGTATGTGCTTGCATACGGGGTGACAAGATTTGACCCGGAGCCTTACCCAAGAATAAGTCCTCTGAGAAACACTCTGCCAATTTTATAGCCCCTTTTGCAACCGGAAGCCTTTAATAAAAACAGACTCGGGAGGCAGAATGTGGAACGGGATGGTTGTATCCTGCAGGGAAAAAAAAACAACCCTGTCCTCGCTCCCCAACGCACTCGCACGCGCGCACACACACACACACAGTGCACCGGGGCTCCTGCCCACAGTCACGCACAAATACTGATCTTCCACGTCAAAATGTGAACTACTCACTTACAACACCACACACCGAGAGAAGTTGTAGATCCTGAGCCAGGGTGTAGATTAGGAATCTCTTGGGTTCCAGCATATCAACAGCAGGATTTAGGGTTGCTTTTTTTTTTTTTTCTCTTTTCCTCTTTTTTTTTTTCCCTTTTTTTTTTTTTTTTTAATGCTAACTCAGCCAGCCACCTGCTCGTTAAAAAGCAAAAAGAAAAGGGAGAATTCCCAGGATTGCTTGCCCTTGCTGAGACAGCGGCAAGTGGCTGGACACTACCAACTGAAAGAGAAAACTCACACACATCAGAAACCTGTGGTTCAGCGCTTATTCCAAGAGGGGAGATGGGTGCTGGTTGCTATTTTTATCTTTCCCTTTGGAGGTGGGGAGGGGGGAGGCTTTTGGCTGATGTGGTTCTAACGTACACCTATCACCACAGTAATTAAAAAACCACCACCATACACTATTTCACAGGGAAAAAGAAGACACGTGAACGTACACGTACTACCACGCACAACAAGAGCCCTGCCGGTCAACTCACGGCCTCTTCAAAATGAAAAATAAAAG